ACTCCGCGTACTTTGACACGGTAACTTAACCACCTTTGGCCTGCTGACGCCATCAATTCGGTACTTGAAGGTAACTAAACTAAATATTTTTTTAAATATAGAACACTACAACGAATCAAGACTCAACTCAATTAAATGTTAAAATAAAATAGTGCTTCTTCTCTAAATCATATTACTGGAAGTGTCTTATGATTCATAATTTTATGGGACCACTGTATGGAAGCAAGCTGTTATAAAAAAGATTTAATCAAATCTATTCAATTTTGACGATTCGGATTGAAAATCTCCTTACACTTTCCGTAAAATATTTATAGATTATTACGACTAACAAAAGGATTTCTTTACAGTTTATATATTCCTATTCTAATGAAAAGTTTATGTTTGTTTTAGATCCCAACTATGACTTCATCGTAGTAGGTGGAGGATCAGCAGGTGCTACAGTTGCTAATAGACTTAGTGAAGTACCTGAATGGAAAGTTCTGCTTGTTGAAGCTGGAGGCAACCCTACCCTAAACACTGAGGTACTCATTTTAATTCCATCACTATTATTATAATAACAAACAATAACAATACAATAATATCAAAAGAATCGGCCATCATTCTTGAAAAAAAGTTGTTATAGTGTGAGATTTTCTTTTAATTAGTATGATGGAGGGTAGTGCTAGTACTTTTATATTTAACTTTAATATAATTATTAATTAGCCAGTACAATTTCATAACCTTAAAAATTAAATTTAAAATTGTAAAATAAAATTTATCTATTCCAGATCCCCGCACCTGTTCTATAACAATATGCGTAGTCCTCAAGACTGGGCTTACAAGACTCAACCTGTATGAAGCCGCTTGCCGAAGCTACAAAGCAAAGGGTTGTGCATGGCCCACGTGGCAAAGCTCTAGGTGGAAGCAGCAGTATCAACTTCATGTTCTACGTAAGAGGCAACAGACACGATTCCGATGAATGGGCAGCCGACGGTAACTACGGATGGAGTTATGATGAAGTATTACCTTATTTCATTAAGAGTGAGAAATTCACTGGGATTTACAATGATCAAAACAAGAAATACCATAACTGGGAAGGTAATCTAAACGTTGCTGTAGACAAGCAGTCTCATGACTTTTGAACATATGATTATCAATGCCGCCGTTTGAACTTGGTTTGAAGAATTCCTCTGATATCAACGGTGAAAGCCAAATGGGTGTAATGACTTCACAGACCACAACAAAAGATGGCACAAGATTCAGTACAGCTCGTGCTTTCCTCAGCCCGATCAAGGACAGAAAGAACTTCCACGTCATCAAGCATGCTCAAGCTACTAAAGTGTTGTTTGTCCCTGGTACTAACATCGTAAGTGGTGTCTTGGTTCACAAAGACGGAAAAGACATAGCAATAAACGTAAGGAAAGAGCTTATTTTGTCAGCTGGTGCTTTGAACTCACCTCACATTATGATGCTTTCTGGTATCGGACCAAGAAGGCACTTGGAAGAGATGAAAATTGAAGTCAAGGCTGACCTGCCCGTTGGTGAGAACCTACAAGACCATTTATTCGTGCCCACCTTTTACACTAAGCCTGGTGACAAAAACTACTACTCTATCAACAATATAGTATCAGCATTCACAGAATACATCTTGAACGGTACTGGTCCGTTGGTCAACACTAGTCCCCACCGTGTAATCAGTTTCATCAATACAACTGACCCTACTTCAACGGCTTCGGATATGCAGTTCCACTACTTTGTTCTTCCGCCTGGTATTTCTAATATGTTAGACATCTTCCACAAGCACGGATTAAACGATGAAGCATACACTAAGTTCCAGGAAATGAACAAGGAACATTACACTTTGGTTATTTTCAACACTTTGTTGAAACCAAAATCTGCAGGTAAAATTCTTCTAGCTAGCAAGAATCCCTTCGAGGCACCTTTGTTCTTTGCTGATTATTACAAAGATCCTGAAGACATGGAGATTGTAATCAAATCAATGAAGCAACATTCTCTGAGATTAGGTGAAACCCAAGCTCTTAAGAAAGCCGGATTCAAACCTGCTTACCTCGACATTGATGCTTGCAAGAAGTTTGACAAGAACAGCGATGACTACCTAGACTGCATTTCAAGAGAGTTGACTTTCTCATTGTACCACCCAACCAGTACAGCTAAGATGGGTCCTGATGGTGACCCAACCTCCGTAGTTGATCCAGAACTGAGAGTGCGTAAGGTGAAAGGTCTTCGTGTAATTGATGCTAGTATCATGCCTTCTGTGGTTAGAGGTAATACCAATGCACCTTCAATAATGATTGGTGAGAAGGGAGCCGACATGATTAAGAAAACATGGTTGAAGCAGCACACAGAACTTTAAATAATGTTAAGAAATTAATAATACTAAAATTAATATTATGAGAAGATTGAGAAGTTTTAAGGTGGGAATAAATTAATTATAAATATGTATATATTTTATTGCAATAACAGACTTAACAAAGTGTCTCTACATAAGATAATCTATTGATTATTGGTGGCTAACTGAGTCCGATAAGGTTCCTTGTCATCCAATTTACAGTAAACCTCCAGGACTGAGAATCTGTTAGCAAATAGACCTTTTTTTAATGTGCTACTGTGTGTATACTAAAAAATGTCCATCGTTTTTAGGCAATATTAGTTTATATTCCATTGTTTAGTTGGCTAGTCCAAAGTTGATGCACCGCAAGATTTTCAAAAAAAACAACAACACACACAACAACATTTTTGGATAGTACATATATAATGATCTATAGTTTCAGATAGTCCTTTTAGCGATCTCTCACTGTATTAGTAGTGGGACTAATAGAGAGCTTGTAACATTTGTATTAGAGTTTTTCAAAATAGGTATTGAGCACGGAACAAATGCAAAGAGGAAAAGTTTAAAGTATACTTAATATTTTTGAGGTAGAAAAAATAATAATAATGAATGGCATTTAAAATATAATAAAATTTTATAAAATAAATTTAAATATATTATAACTTCAAACGCCAATCTAAAGAAAAAAATTAATAAACGAAAAATAACCAATTCTTAAAAAAAAACTCTCGAATAACTAAGCTACAACTCTTATTATAGAAAGTCCTTGCAGTAAAATTCCATTTTGAATATTGTACATAGAGTATTTACACTTTCAAGGAGTTTATTTTATGAACTCATGACTGACCATTACTTGGGTTGACTTTTACGAAATGCTTAACATATTCGCTTTTAAAGTTTTTGTTTGCAATTAGAATACTAGTATCACTAATAATTTAAACATATCGTAAAAATCAGTCTAAATACAATTTCATTGATTCTTATATTAAAAAGTGTATTGTGGCACAGTCGTAATTTATAGACGTTTCAATTAAATGCTCTTTTATTGTTCTTGCTGTACCAAATATATCTTGTTAAAAAGACAATTGTTTGTGTATAATACTGGTAGGTTTTTTTTTGTTTTAAAAAGACAACTACCGCACTAGGAATAAATCCTGTGTCGCGGGGGACTTTACAAACACACATGAAACGGACACAAAGAACACCCAGACTTAGAACAACAATTTGTGAATCACACAAAGTGTCGTCTCATGTGGGGATCGGACCCACCCACTCTAGTAGTGATGCTGATGAGGATGCTCAGAATGTTCTAAAATATAAACTAAAAAAATGTTCCTTTTATGTTCTTAATTAAAAAAAAAATTTACTAATAGAAGCTTACATTAATATAAAATGATTGCAAATAAGAATTGTCATTAAGCGCCTAAACTAATAAAATAGCAATGTAAGTATGTAAGTAATTAAACAACAAAGAAGAGGCGAAGGCGCTTAGTGCAAATTCTTAATTGTAATCATTTTCTGTTTATGTGACCGTTTCTCTTAGTATATTTCATGGAAGAAATAAAGAAAAAAAATTCCGTTTATATTTTAGAAAATTCTGAGTATCTTACCTATATGCCGCAACGTATACGGTGCCTTCCGGGCACAAACAATTGCTTTTATAACATTTAATCTATTGATTGGTACAGCAAGAACAATAAAATAACATTTAACTGATACGTCTATAAATTACGAAATCGACTGAAGACGGGCAGCGCCGCAACACTATTTGGATTAAAATTGAATTCCAATTTCGGCTCAGTCTTTTTGTTCTGTTATGTATCTTTTTTCTAGGTCTGTTTACAAATGAATTTTAATATACATTTTAATATATTATTTTGGTTAAAAAAACTGTTTTAGGACGGATAGCACAACAATTTTCAGTATTATTTTATTCAAGCTACATAAAAAAACAGAATCAAATTCAGTAATCTATACTAATATGGTTAAAGCTTTATGGTGTGTGTATTTATTTGCTTGGTTCGAACGCGCTAAACTCGGAATCGAAAAAAACATTTGAGTGTTGGAGAGCCCATTCATTGAGGAAGGCTATAGGTTGAATAACACCACGCTATGCCCCAATGAAAGATGGAGAAGAGCCTCAATGAAAAATGTTGTAAAACGGGGAAAATGTATCCCTTTTGAGCGACGCAGACGAATTTATGCGGGTCAGCTTATATTAGATATTTTGCATTCACACACACACCAAATATTGCAATAGCAGCAATATATAAGATACGAGTATGCACATGAGATTATAATTTATAATGAATGACTTGGATATCGCTGGTAACATTGATTGTGATGACGGCAAAGCCATTCTATTTATTTAAGAAGAACATGTTTAATAGTACTACGGTCACTAATATTTTATTCTATTAGCTAAAAGGTTACACAACATCCGAATGGTCAACACAGATAATAATTTAAAACAATCAACTTTCTCGGTGGCTGCAATGGTAGCGTCTCGTGCAACTGCCTGTTCTGAGGTATCGGGCTCGATCCCGGGTCGGACCGAATGTTTGTATGATTTGCAACCACAAAACATGTTCGGCTAGTACTTAAAATAATTATATTCTCAATATCTAATACATAGGTATTTATCCATAAGAGTATTGTCTATGCTTGCCTACGAATGAAAACATATACGAACGTAACTCATTAGAGTAAGAGGGAAGTTCTAAACAATTTTTTATTTACCTTTCTTATTTTATTTCTGGGTTTCAGATTGAAAAGTATTATATGTATTAATCAATTTATGATCATCATAAACGCGTCTGTTTTAGGAAGATTATCTGATTGTGCTTCAACAAAACCGGTTTCAGCCATTGTGTTAAATCTTTCTTAGCAAGAATTTAATACTTTAACACAGAAAACTATTTATGTAATATGAAATAACCGCGAAACAATACAAAATAATAATCACCAGAATCCATACAAACAACTTGGTGACAAAAGACGTCGAGTGAAATTTGACGTCACGTTTTGTTCTACCATTAGCGTTGCGTTTAAGAAATTTGATTTTTTTTGAAGATTTGATTTAATTTCACTATTAAGTTATGATAAATTTCAAAAATAATTGTGTATCTTTTTTTTAGCAATAATGTTTACAAAAAAAATATTTTGTCCATTATGGAGTCACGGGCATATTCCCTACTATGTGCCACTTTATTGCCTTAATTTTGGTCTTTATGGCCACTATGGTATTGTAATTCTTCAAGTCTATCTAATAGTAAAGTTATTACACTGATAATATGGCTTTATACAGGTTAAGTGCTTTTTGTATTACGTTCATTGTTATCCTATTTCTTTATGGGTTAGGAGGTAATGGTCCGACTCTTCCACGGCGACTAGCCGGGATGTAGGAGGTAGAGAGGTGGAAGAGGCATAACCAAATTAGTTTTTTTAAAGTTTTCATTTCAATTTTCGACTGTGACAGGCGTAAAAAAGTTGTTATGGTTTGTGACTTGGCCTTTTTAGAAGCTTGTTTGGTCCCTTTATTAATATATTTTGTAGATTCTTTATCTGCCTCTTCGGGTAACATAGACAAAAACGTTTTATTCCTTTCTGTGTATGGTGTATGGTTCTGATTCAAGTGTTTTTAGTGAAACGATTTTGTCGTTAACACACAAGGTGGAAAATCTTCAAATATGGTTACTGGGTAAGTCGACCATTTCTGGTAGATTTCACTATTAAATACCATACCCCAAACCTAACCATTTTCAAGATATTGGACTTTTAAGATTTTTATAAAAATCGGCGAAATTTGCCTAATACAATTTTTTTAGAACGTATATCTAACTTATTAAAATATAACTTATTATTTTACGCTTTTTTTACTATTTTTGTGTAGTTGATAAATTGTTTTATAATTTCTTAAAACTTAACAAACTCGGCCGAAGTATATGGTTAATAATAGAGAGGGAGCGCGAGGAGACGGCACAATGCCAGCACTGCGCAGCCGACTGGGACTCCGCCCAGCACACGCTGGAAGACTGCCCCTCGTGGGCGTCTCAACGCGAAGTCCAGGGCTTAAATTCTGCTATTTTATGTTCACGCCAAGCCACTGTCATACACTGACACGCTATTTGAGATGGCATCGAGTGGTCATTGGCATTGGTCAAAATATCGGTAGTCTACACTAACTCAGTGTCTTTACAGTGGCAATGGAATGGCAGTGGCTCATCAATGGTGATATCAAAAAGATTGCCCTATTTGGAAAATTAAGTAAATCGTTTCCTTATAAATGAAAACTGTATTACATTTTTTCAATTTTGGTCCATAAAGTTGTTATGGATTTATCATATTTATTGATACAAATGTATAAACTACAACGACATAATACACGTAATTAATAAAACTATCGTGGGATGTTTGTAAGTGCTATTGCCAATCAAAAAAAGTGGAACTGAACTTATCTATCATTGACGGAACGGACCAGCAAAATTAAAATGATTTCTAAAGAAGTAGTAAGTACTTACTTTCGTATTTTTTAGATGTTTATCGATAAAATAAAATTATATTATCTATTTCTGCAAACAAATTAGAGAAGTAATTTAACACAATATTAATAAAATTACGGTTTAACACTACATAGTACATCATTGTCTTTACTTTGAATTTTTATAATTCAAACTCCTAAGTTCGTTGCAGAAATGGCCAGTGAGGTACAATTAGGACGCATTTGATGTTCCTGGTTTAAGGAAGGGTGCAGTCTGTGGAAGCGATTATGGACGGAGTGCGCAAATATTAGTAGTGAGTATTAATTTACATAACAAATTTGTTCTATTCTTCCACAAAACTCTTTCTTTGTGAGAAGGCAATAACGAAATAAGTTAAGGTAGATAGTCCACCACGTTATCAGCAAATTTCAACAAGCAAATTTTACACAACTTGACTAGGAGAACTCTCAGTTAAGCAAATTGCTTTCACTGTTAAGCCAAGTCTTTAGTAGCCATAACTTTCAGAGAAAACTTTGACTATAA